AGATTGTGTTTTAACGTGTATCTAACTTTCTTTTCACTAGGGGGAGTCAGTCAGTTAAAGAGCATCAAACTTAAAACAACTTACTCTGACAATTGATTTGTTGCGAGTATTAAGGCATTTCTGACAGCATTTTCACTTTCACTTGCCGAAAATTCAAATAACAAAAAAACAGATAACAAAGACCAATACAAATCATTTTTGTTTCAGTGTCCACTGAAGCAATCTTCTCTAATGGTGTGTTGTCCTTTAAAGAACTAGCTAGCTAGATTCAGGCTGAATGTACGAATGTTGTACTGTTTTTTAGTCATCATTTAGTGTCTTTTTGTTCCCTACAGAACAACTGAACTCACACATAAATGTTACTCAACTGAAACGATGTCGCAAAATCTTGTTTACTACACGCAACTAACTCAATAGGGACATTTGCTCTCATTTTTCCTGTACCTTTTTGCTTAATTAGGTAAAATGCCTAAACAAAGGTGTGTATGTGAGCTTTGTTTTTTTGTTATTTTGTTTAACTTAATTAGAAGTGTTTGAATGACTTGCATTTTTATCTCATTCACTAAACATTATTGTATTACAGTTGTGTGAATATTGTGCAAAAAATTGTCATTATTGACAAAAATCTATTTAAAATATACTTTTAGTTTATCATTTGTTTTTTTTATTTGCCAAGTAACAGTTTTTTTGATGAATCTTTTTTATTTTTTATTTTGTATCACTAACATTATCACCAGAACTGCAAATAAAAACCTATTTTATAAAACACCGTTTCGATATGCGGTCGATTGCATTTTATTGCATTTTGCCTAAAGACATTCTCATTTTAACAAAATTGTCCACATTTTTCTTACAAAAATGATTGACCAAAATAAAGCAATTTACAAATTGAGCCCTTTTAAGTGATAATACAAAACAATATAAGTAAAAAATGATTATATTTTAAATGAAATATAATTTAAATATTAGTTTGTTTTCAAGGCCGTTTTTTCATTATTAGTAAAAATAATAGTTTGATTTACTGACGTTTAAAGATTATTTGTAACAAAAAAAGTCAGATTAAATATTGAACGGCAAACTGTTAAGAAATAGTTTACGTTGGTTTGGGAATCAGTTTTGTTATTTATAGCCTTTGGCGTTTGGCATTATAGTGATAATATCATTCAAGTATTAACAATAGATGTTTCCTGAGCAATTGTCAACTTCAAATCTGTGTCATTTGCCACAAAACATTTAGTTTATCTGATTGATGACTGTACTTGACAATAGTAAGAAAGACAGTGGAATGCAAAAGTTACTTGAAACAACAAGACGGTGAAATATCAACATAAAAAGCACGAAAGTACTTCTGAAGTGTTGTTAGAAGTATGAATTTAAGAAAATGGTGCAATCAGCAAATATTTTTTAGATGCATGTTCTCAGAATCGCTACTTGGAGATAGCTAGAAAAATAAATAACTGCATTTGTGCTATAAAACAAAAAGAAATGTGAATCACATTTGTACACACTTAAAAACACTATGTTTATTATCTTACAAAGTGAAAATACTTTGACGGCAGTAATACTTTTTTGAGCATTTTTGTAATTTATAAACAAAAAGTATTTTATAAATTTTGCAAAAACAAATTTTAAAAATATTTTTTCAGTAATTTAGTTTTAGGCAAATGTAGAATACATCAAATAGTAATGCACGCGTACATTTGACAGAAAATGACATCGACTGAAACTTCCGACTAAATTAAATATGAATCAACTGACTTCTTTTGATTTACTTCAATCAAAGATTCTGTCTTATTTAGTGAGTTTATGGCTTTAGTTTCCCTACAGCTATTTTAGAGCGAAATATTTCGGTCAAGTTGAGGTCTGTATTCTCCGGAGTCTGTCAGAGAGCACATGCATTTATTATGGTGCTCAAAGGTTATCCAAGTGTTTGACAGCTAGGCAAGCAAAACTCGACTGCTTGCACTGAATTGATGGCATCAATCCCCTGCCTCAATCAGCACCAACTCAACTTAACACACAACTCAGCACTTCGAACTCAAACAGACAGACCGTCTGAATATAAGCCTTCAGTAACCGCAAAGCAAAAGGAAAAAACTCCTTCGATCTCCTATATCATCAAAACTTGGAATGTAATGGGCACTCGTTTGGGCAAAACTTTCTTTCAAATGGGAAAAGGAGATGGCTGAGAAGAGTTGGTGGTGGTGGTGGTGGTGGCCCGTTGGCATAGCAAATTTTCAACGGGCAATTCAATTTCCGATTGCAATTTGGTGCCTGCCAATAATTGAAGGGTCGCCTTCAGCTATCACGGCAGCCAGTAGAAGAAGCAAAGCAAGCCAGCCAGCCAGGCAGCCACCATCAGCAGACCATTAAGGGAATGACGATGTTAATCACAGGTTCACTCGCAATGACCACACAAACACCGACCAACTAGCTGCTACTGACTCCGGGTGAAGCAGACCTCCGAATGTTGCCTCAGCCTCTTTATCGACGGTAGGAAAAAAAGTGTAAGAGTAGTGCAAACAGCGTTTCAGGCAAACATTCGGTCAAATGCAGTTTCATATTACACACCAGGAGAAACTTTTTCATCTCCTACCGATTTGTTGTTCAGTCAAATTATTCATTCACATTACAGAGTCTCGTCTTCCGTTTGGATTTCTGATTCTGATTTTGATTTGACGATGCACCGAAAATTTGCTATTTGATTGGTCTACTTTTTTTTATCAACATGCCGTTTCGGAAGTTATTGACTTGCGTTTGCCTTTTCTATTGTCACTACACTTTTGCTCTATTTTTCTTTGTCTGTCTGACAAGCGTGGTTTTGCCTGTTTATCCGGAACAAACAAGTAGCCAAACAAAAGGCCAAACATTCAATTTGAACGTCACTTTTTTCAGTCCAATTCATATCATCTCTTTAATTTGAATGAACAAAATACATGAATAGCATTTGCACTGTACAATAGTTTTAATTTTGCTTGACATGATAAATTCTGTCATCTGTCACTGACTTGCTTTTGTTAATTTGACTTTTTAATTTTAAAGCTAACCTTCACTCTGTCTAGACACGCAAAGTTGAGATTTATTGAGCTGTTGATGACGGTAAATTTAAATCACTGTTAATTTTAAATACGCAACAATATAATAAGACTGGCATACTGAAATTCTAGTTAAAGAAAAGTAAATTTGAAAGCCCAAAGTGAATTTGGTTTGCAGTCAGCAGCATCGCTACTTTTGCTTTTCCCTCAATTGCCCTGAAACTCAATGCACAGTTTGTTGCATCCCTTTTTGGTTGGGTGTGCAACAAAAGAGATGAAAATAGAGAGACAGGAGCGAATACAAAGAATCACTTGTGCGAACAAAAATTGAATGAAAGCGTTTTGGGCATATTGAAGCCGCTGGGTGAAAATCGAATTTGAGCTGTAAATAGTACGTGCAATAGTTAGGGTGGTATTTTGCTTATCTGCCACCAACAAGCGCGCTCGCTCGCTCGCTTGCTCTTTCCTTCTCACTCTCTAAATGCAAATTTTCTACGTTATCATCAAAAAAAAAGAAAAATGAGGTTAGGGAAAACATACAAAGATTCAATCTTCTTTCTGTAGCAAAAAAAGTTTCTATTTGCTAATCGGAAGAATTGCAAATAATAAAAAGCGGAAATACTCAACTTTCTAAACCGTAACTGCGACTGAATTTTAAGTTGTCCAATTTAAAAACACAAAATATGTTTCAACTTTTTGTTTCCTCCAAACTAGAGCGAATATTTTGTTATTTGCAAACAAAACAAAACAAAACAAAATAATGGTTTTTTATTTACCAATTACAAGCGAACTTTACTTGGCAGGGGTGAACATGCTGTCACTCGGTCAACGGCTGTCTTCCTCCGTTTTCCTTTTCTCTGAAAGAGAGCTATTCCCCTGACAGTTCAGTGACTTGCGTTTAGGCAGTTGTCTTTCAAACGAACTAAAAACACAAGAATGAACTTTTCAGCAAAAAAAGTTTTCACCTGCCTAAGAAATGAAAAGAAGGAAAGGAGAGGATGAAGAAGAAGAAAAGTAACTTTAAAGTGCTCATCTTGCCATGAGGAAGCTTTTAGCTTTCAGCAAACATTTGCTCTGTTCTCGCCTCTTCTCATCTGTCCTGCTGCTATCAGCGGATCACCAGCTGAGTTGCACTAAGTTGAACTGGGGTGCCATTTATTTCTGGTGCTGCAGAATCAATCATCATCATCAGTTTCTATATTTTTTGCCGTCCTTTCTTTTTTTCTTTCTTTCTTTTTGCCTTCCATTTTTCACTCACATTTGGTTTTGCACTGACTGACTGACTTTCAAAGGCAGTGCAATCTGAGCCAGCAGTGCTTTATGTGTTTGCGCCAGTGGTCATCATTACCAAACACTGCCAACAGTACTCTGGCTATCGACCAGAGCAGATCAGAGTCATTGCCGGCAAAGCTTCGACTTTAGCTTCAGCTGCAGCAGCAGAAGCATTTTTTGCTGTTTTCTTTTGTTGTTGACCAAGTGATGATGAATTGTTGTCCTTCTCTTTCTCTAACTCTATTTATTTTTCTCTTTCTCTTTCTCTCTCTTCTCCCCTGTCGCCCACAGATACAACGCCATTGTCCATCCCCTGCGAAAGCGTATGACCAAGCAGCGAGCCTTTGTGCACATCTTCATCATCTGGTTCGGCGCGACGCTGTTCGCCGTGCCGACGCTGATCTTCTCGCGAACGCTGGTCGTCCGCATGCCGCACGAAACACTGAAGGACCGCACTACCGAGCGCGCCATTTGCATTCTCAAGTGGCCAGACGGCTATCCCTGGCAGTCGAGGCTAGACTTCTTGTAAGTGTGCCTTCACAGTTCAGTGTCTGCAGAATGCAGTACAGTGCACCGGAATAAAGAGAAGAAAAAGTGAGACACCGGCTGTACTGCCTGCAGGCACTAGCAAAAAAATGGAACCGAGAATTTCACATGCATTTTGTTGTGTTCATTTCCTCCCTCTCTTTACAGCTACAACCTGCTCTTCCTCATTCTCACCTACATTCTGCCGCTGATGACGATGGGCATTGCGTACACCTTGATGGCGCGTGTCCTCTGGGGCAGCAAGCAGATCGGCGAATCGACGCAGGCACAGATGAACCTCATCTGCTCCAAGCAAAAGGTCGTCCGAATGCTTATTTGTGGTAAGTGTGCCTACTTTCTTTTCTCTGCTCTGAAATACCGCAAAAAATGAGTGTCGGTCTTTTCGGTACAAAAGTGGCCTGACATTTAACGTCCCGTCCCGGCCACCGCCGTAACTGCCATTGATCGTGTGCACTTTCCCATTTCCCAACAACTCGACACCTTTCTTTTGGCGGTGTTGTTGTTGTTGCGGTTGTCGGTGTGCGTAAACAGTTTTCACGTCATTTGCACTTTCTCTTTCCCCACATCTATTTGCAGTGACCGTTCTCTTTGGCTGTTGTTGGCTTCCGTACCATGTTTACTTTCTCTGCACTTACCAGTAAGTAAAGCTGAGCTTTTTGTCTTTCGGGTGCATCAGTACTGATTTTGGTCTGCTTCCTTTCCTTCTTTCCGTTTCTTCTTTTATTGACAGATGGCCCTGGCTGGTGAACTCCAAGGCGACGCAGCACATCTATCTGGCCATCTACTGGCTGGCCATGAGTAACTCGATGCTCAATCCAATCATTCTACTGCTGATGAACCGGCGGTAAGTTTTCGGCTGAACAGGGAACATATGTATTTTTGGAATTGACCAAAAATAGATTCCATTACATTACCACGAACCCCACTCATTTACCTTTCGCCTTTTCTACATCTTTTTTCCACCCAGTTTCCGTCGGTACAGCACCAAATTCCTCAACTGCTGGCCCTTCACGCAGATCTTTCCCTGCATTTCCGCCGCTCAGCAGTCCCTTCCTTCGGAGGCCTGCAACACCGCCATTGTCACGCACGGGCCCAATCATCAGGAAACGCAGACGGTGCTTCTCTGCAATGGCCTCCAAGATGGCTCGGGGGCAGGAGTGGCCGGTGAAGGGGAGGAGGAGGACATGCCTGAGGCGGAGGGCAAGACAATGTACGACAATGGAGGGGACAGCAGCAATGGCGAGCAAAAGCACCTCAACCACAGCAACAGCCACAACAACAGTCACAACCACCAGCACTACCAGAATCATCATCATCACCACCACCACCACCACCGTAATGGCTACTCGCTGAGAAAGGACTCCAGTCAGAAGAGCACTCGACCATTGGTCGCCTCAATGTCAATTCGTTACTCTCCCTGACGGACAGATGAACTCCGAGGAGTGTTGCGACTCCGCTGGCTAGACACCAGTGCACTTTCTTTGCACTCTTCACGTTTGCTACGACACAGCAGCTTTGTGCGCTCTGTGGCAGCAGTCAATTGACAATTGACAAACAACAGGTTGACGACAGACAGAAGTACTTTGCTTTGAAAAAGGGATCGGGTGAAGGAAAGGAGATGACGCACACTGAGAGCATTGAGTGCATGTGCGTCATTCCCTCCCCCTCTTCTCAGTGACTTCTCCTGTTTCAGTCGGTCGTTATCCCAGAGAAAAGGAAAGTGACCACAAATCGAAAGAAAGACTGGCATGTGTACTGAGCAGTTTTGAACTGACCTCAAATTGTTGCTTACTCTATTTCTCTCGATGATGAGTACACGGAACGTACAACAGCACTTTTAGGCTAAATCGTGCCTAACTGCTTTGAGAAATGTTTTACCAAATTAAATGTATTTTTATCTTTTTTGACAATGACAAAACCTTTTTTGTTTGTACCCCTTTGTATGATGATTGTTGATGAAACTAAAATAAATAAAAAAATTTTTAAATTTTAAACAATTTTTTGTTTTTATAAATACACACGTGTATGTCTACAACTTATTTGTTTTATTGGCAAAAAGAGGATTTGTGAAAGTGTGTATGTAAAACAAAATAAGTACAAAAATTAAATAAAAAATTCACTAAGACGCAAATGCAAAAAATAAGACAAGAAACAGAACAAGAGTGAGCCAAACAAAAAGTGAAATGTTGACTGTCTTCAGAATGTTTTTTGATGTTTTTGTTGCTGAAAACTGAGGAGATGGCTCGCCTTGATATGAACTCGATACGGCAAAAAAAAGGAGAAATGCCAGAAAAAACAATGAACAAAACAATTTGAAAAATAAGAAGTACCTAAACCAGCCTTGCTGCTGCTGGTCATTGGCAGAGTTGACGGCCTTTTGTGTGAGTGAGTGAAGTGGCTTAGGAGTCCTTCTTTGACTCGACAGCAGCTGCTGGTGGCGGCTGATTAGCTGCCGCCAATCGCTGCTTCTTATTGTACGATTGCCGGTAAAAGTCGTAGAACATGTAAAAGAAGATGGGATTCTGTCCGACGGCGACGGCAAACCAGATCATGGGATAGCCCGTCTGCAGGCAGTAGAGGAAGATGCCGTACGTGCCGCACACTGCAAACTGCAGCAGCTGCAGCTGGGTGATGTACTTCTTCCACCAGAGGTACTTCTGCATCTCAGGGCCAAAGGACGCCAGCGAGTAGTAGGAGTACATTATTACCTAAGATTAGATAACAGACAAAAATTTTAACATTTTTCATAATCGGCACTGTTTTGCGTAAAAAGCTTGAGAATGCCGATAAATGCCGCGTGCTTTATCAGTGCTTTTCAAGCTTGCCCAAAAATAGTCGGAGCGCATATATTTACATGAATAGCCGTGTTAAATAGGGCAAAAAGAATGATGATAGGCACTAGGGGATTGAGCTTGAAGGAGAACCAACCTGCAAAGAGAAGAGAATTATCAATAGCTTTAAATTTGATCAGTTTGAGAGGGTGCATACCGAGAAATGGCACGATCATATGGTGGTACACTGTTGTTGAAATTAAATATTAATTTGGGACCAGGACTCTGCATATAACAGTATAAACGTCAGTGCATACCATGTAAAAAGGAAATTTGATTCTGCTTCTTTCGCAGACAGAAGAAGAACGTATCGAACATGTCTAGGTAGCGACTCATGTAGCCGAGCCACGCCAGGAAGAGCTCGTTCATCGTCTCCGGGCGAGTGTCATTCCGGTCCGGGTAGGTGAAGTCGAGAAAGCGGCGGCCGTAGTCGATGTGCTGGAAGAGCTTGAAGAAGGCGGCCAGGTTGGCGATCACCATCAGCGTGTTGTACGTTCGAATGGTGTTCTTCAGCGAGTACGGCTTCCGGTCTTGCATGTACGCCGGCAGCACCTTCTTCACCAGCAGCCAGTAGGTGATCAGCACGGCGGCGATCTTCCACAGGCCGCCGCTCACCTGGTGTGTTTACAAACAAAAAACAGGTGATTAAGTTTGTTGTAATTTTAGGTTTATTATCCAGATTGCTTACCATCGGGTAGTGGGCAGTTCGGGGATCGCCAATGTCGATCCAGTACTGGTGAAGGTAGTAGACCGTTTGGTTGATAAAGCTGGTCATGATTGAGCAGTAGGAGAGAAGGGGTAGTAGTAACAGTTGTTGTTGTTGTTCAAATGAGCTGTAGATGAAGATAAGAAATTAGCAGTGGCGAAAACAAATGTGTGACAGAAAAGTCTTTAAAAAACAGCAAAAAAAAATACAAGTGCGACAAGTTGCTAGTGAGTAGTAGTGCTAGTGGGCACATTCACTTCACTTTCACTTTTGTCAGTACTTGTTGAAACTGTTCAAAGCTAGTGAAGTATATCACAGCCGACTCACACCGTAAGTGTTCGTTCACCACCAGGGCAACTGACTACGGTGCCTTGTGTGGAATTACTTTTGTACGACGATCCACTTGTGGAATGGTGGACGTCGTTGTCGGCGTCAGTGGCTGAGATGCTGCCTGAGATGTGACAGCAGAAGTAGGCGACAAAAACGGCTGCCAACTTAACGTCGTCGGTTGTTGTGTCGCTAGTGTCGTCAACGACGAAGTCGCAGACGTCTCTAAAGTGCAACTTCGGCAACTTCTTCGATTATCGTAATTACTAGGCACAAATTGCCCAAACTCACAAACTCACACACAGTCAACAGTAAAGTCAGCAGTGCAGTGTACAATACACACACACACACACACACACGCCGACTGACGAGGGACTGTTGTCTGTTCTGAAAAGCTTCATTTTGCGCGACAGAAGACAGAAGAAGGTAAGTATCCTGGAGAAAGCAGTATCCTCTTTGTCAGAGGCCTTTTTCGTCAGACGACTTTCAGTGTGTGACCACTTTCTCCCATCAGTCCACTGCCTGCACCGGTGCAATGGCGGTAAGGAAGGTAGACAGAGGCATATCTCTTTCTCACTCACTTTTTTACTCACACTTCTGTGAGTCTCTTTTTCATGGAGAGCAAACAGACACCACCACCACCACCACCTCCATCATCATCATCATCATTGACAGCAGCAGCAGCAGCACCACTGTCACTACTTCTTTCGGCTTCATTGCGTAATGCACCCAATGTGTGCAGTCTGTGTGAGGTAATTTGCCATGCAATTGGCGCACCATTGGTTTCGATTGCTGAGGTTGAGGCTGCTGTTGCCAGGCCAAATGACGCTCTTGCTTCGATCAGTCTGCTTTCCCCTCTCTTCAACCACGAGATCATCACGACTCCA